AAAGTTTGTTTTATGGTGTTTTTATTACAATATTGTGACTTCAGCCTGTTATGGGATCATTGTGATGTCTTGTGGTGTTGTATAAAAAAATTAAAAAGTGTTTGTACAGCTCTCTCTATGCCCTTTCATATGATATATTACTCAATATGGTTTCTTGAATTTTTTTCCAGCTCACATTGTGTGCTAACGGAGTCAGTTAAGTCTTAAGTTTCAACTGATTTACAAATTTGTTGTGACCTTGACCTGATTTTCACCTAAATTAGATGAGCTCAACGCTGGACTGCTACAAACAAACAGGCAAACCATCGGGATCAGACTGAAATGAACAAACACACTGTAGGAAGTAGCTGAAACTAAATTCATAAGACAATTAACTCAAATTGAAAAATAAATATTTAAATAAAAACACTGATTTAAATTGAAATTATTTTGGAAGAGTGACAGATGTTTGTAGCAACTGATGCAGAAGTCACTTTGCATACTGTACAATTTGCATAATAGTTGCCTAGTGTGTACTCAGCTTTTCCACAGAAGAGTTTTTCACTATTATCAAACATAATAATTTTCCCTGTGATCACATTCAGGTATACCTTTTTTTTCTGTCTCAAAAGAAGATCTGCTTGCACAACTATGTCAGGAAAGGCACCAGCATCTTGATGGTGCATTTTTACCTGATAGGTCAATGTGAAATGATTAACTTTCTGCATGCCCCCATCACCCCCACCCTCTCGTGTCTATGCAAAGCAACACGTTTATTACAAAAAGGGAAATAAATGCAAAATTCAAATTGAATCGTGCCAACTAAAGACAAACTCTCAGCTTTGTCTTTGGTTTAAGTTCAATAGCATCCTCAGTGGTGTCTTCCTATATGAAAAACTGTGTTTTAATGTCCCAGTGTGAACATTCACCTGTGAGCCATCCCCATCATCCTGCTTGTTCTGGCTGTGTCTGACGGCACTGCCGAGCTCCTGATGATAAAGGAAAGCTTGTTTGAATGGCAGGGAGACATGTAGTATTAAAAAAAAAAAATCAGGACGTTATCACACTTCCTGTACTTCTCTCCTGGATATAGGTGGGACTACCTGAGTAGCAGCCGCTGAGCCTTTGTCTCGTTTGAATATATTCATTCTGAAACACATTAAGTTTTCATAATTTCGTTGTACATATACAATGACAATAAAGGGCAATTCTGCTCTATTGTATTCTGTTAAGGAGCTGTTTTAGTGCGTTAAAGCACTTTCACTGTTTTCACGGCAAAGCCAAACAACAACATACTTAACAAATTATAGCGCTATGCCTGCGTTATAAGCCAAACACCAATACTAAAAATGTTAGTTAAAGCGACATTAATAATAACAGTTGCAGTCGTGCTCTCGACTGTTATTATTGCGTCAACTTGCGCAACTCTGCGCAACTTGGCGGAAAAAACTTTCTGCTTATTGAGTCACTTTAGACGACATAAACAAGAAAGGCGGCACAGCCCGAAAGTGTCAGGGTTTAAACACAGCCCCGCGTGAGATGCACAAAGCAAAGCCACGTTCAAAGCTCTGTGCACTGTGGCCGTTTTGTCCGGAGGAATGTTTGACAGCAGCAGAGCCACAAACAGCACGGCGAAAAGAGCACGGATCCTACCTCGGTGTCGAGTCTGGAAAACAAGGCAGCCAACACTCACACACACGAACACACGACACTAAGTGGGAAAAGTGAGGTACTGTTGTCAAGCCAGCGTCCAGTTCGAGAAGTACAGACGAGCGAGTCCCCACTTTTTTGTGTGTTTTGTGTGTATACTGAGTATTATGGTAAGAGACGTCGAGACCTGATTTCAAAATAAAAGCCCCTTCAAGTGAATTTAGGTTCAACATTAACTAACTTATCTGTCCATTATAACAATAGTTAATTAGTCTCCTTTCCACACTCTAACGA